CATCTTCCCAAGGCCATAAAAAACTTTACTACAACACTGCTATCAAATAACTCTTCAATTCCCATTACTGCTAATCATCGTCCTCAACAACAATATGTTGACTTCTCTGATGAAACAAACACTACAGAAGTTGATGAAGAATTATTTATTCCTTTATCTACTGATGATAAATCACGATTATATACACCTTGGAAATCATCAGTGATTGTTAAAGTGTTTGGAAAAAAAATTGGCCATCTACTGCTGAAACAAAAACTGACTTCGCTATGGAAACCTACTGAAAACATGTTTCTAATTGATCTTGGATCTGAGTTTTTCCTTATTAAGTTCCAGAAAGAAGAGAATCTGCAAACAGCCCTTCATGGAGGTCCTTGGTTTGTCCTTAACCATTTCCTATCTGTGAGGCAATGGGAAGCTAAGTTTATTGCATCCAACACTCAGCTAACGTATTCTGCTATATGGGTACGTCTCCCTGAGCTACCTACTGTGTTTTATGATATGGAAATCCTTCAGCGAGTGGGAGCGAAATTGGGTAAACTATTAAAGGTTGATATATGCACGACAACTACTTCTAGGGGCAGGTATGCAAGAATTTGCATTGAGGTACCTCTTGAAAAACCTCTCAAGACACATCTCCACATTGGCAACCACAAACAAACAATCCAATATGAAGGCCTTAACGTTCTTTGTACTGCATGTGGTAGATTTGGTCATGCTTTAATCCATTGTACCTTTCAAACACAACCACTTCCCACATCCCTCGTTACTAAATCTTCTAGGCCTCAGTCTGCTTCAACGTCTTCTACAACTCACTATATTCCCCACCCTACAAGCAATCATCAATCAGCTGAGTGGCAAACTGTTTCTTTTCCAAAAAGAAACAACAACCGACTACAATAACAAGCTCCATCAACCCTAAAGTACTCAAGGGCGGCAGAACCCAATGAGATGCCAAAGGAAGCAGGTAAGCTCTCTATCCCTAATGGGCAAAATCAGGCCCAAACTCAAATTCGTGCTTCTGACTCAACAATCCAACCCATTCAAACTCCTAACCAATTTGACCCAATCTCAGAGGACATGGAGACTAGCTCTACACAAATTGATAATGCTAATTTTCAACCTGCTCGTATCCATGAGCCCACCGCTACTCTTTCTTATTTGGAATGTCAATCGATTTGGCCTATTGGGCCATATAATAATGATACACCTGCCTTAATTGATACTACTCATTCCTCCTTTGTTAACATGCCAACTAAAACAAATATTCACTCTATTAATAAATCACAAACGTTTGTTAACAATCCACAGACACGTCAAGTTGGTAATCTGCTTATTAACTCAGCCACCCAAAATGACCAATCAGGAAAAGATACTTCTTCTACTCACCATCATGCAGATTCTAATTTATCTCTACACACTCTTGTTAACCACGATAATATGCATGATACAGTAGGCTATGAAGCTACTGCCTCCCAAACTCCAATACTCTCTTATGATTACATTCCATGTGTACTTCACCATCCCCTTCTTTATACACTACTGGACCATTTACTCACCCTCATACAACTTCTAGAGAAGCCAACTCTTCTTCAAAAGCTTCTCCATTACAGACCTACAATACACAAGCACCCATATTTTCTTTTCCATCCAAAGATCATACAGCGTCCAAACTTCACCAACACCAACTACAACAGCTATTTCAGACAACAAATTCGCCAAAACATGGAGGCTTACGCTCAAACGCAGTGGTACACGACTCAAACTCCATTGCTAGTGGACCACCAAGCATCAACATCCCAACAGCCACAGTGGGCATATCCCATGCACCCACCGACCCCATTTGTCAACCCCCAGATGAACCTACTCCCGTTCTATCCACCACATCATTGGGGTCAAATATATGCACCTTGGTTCCAGCCGATCGACTCTTTCAACCCTTGGTCCCCATACTCGACTCCATTCAGTCCAAACGACTTACTGAATCAACAAGTGAGTCCTTCTCCATCACCACCCCAATCTCCAAACGAACTAGACATGCAAACAGATCAGGAGCTAAGGGCAATATTGGCAGAGATGAGGGAAACACGCACGGATTACTTGTGGCTAAAGGGCATTCAGCTCTCCAACCTAAAAGAGCAGTACGAAAAAAAGATCATACTGAAATGCCCCCCAGAGTTAGTCACATGCAGTCTCAATTTCAGGTTGATGGCAAACCAAGAGGAAGGGAAGTATGCCATGGTCAACATTCCGACTCTTCGAACGACTCGTGTGATAGAGAATCAGGGGCTGCCAGCCATGGGGGCTGTCACTCAACAGATTCCGGTTCCAACTGAAATGGTCACTTTTTCTCCTAATTGTATGAATTTTGTCATTTGGAATTGCAGGGGATCTCACAATGTTGAGTTTCGGAGACATTTTAGGTCTTTACTAGACAATAATAGGCCAGCTTTGGTAATACTATTGGAGACACACATGCAAGATCACACTGTTCTTCGAGATGATTTTCAGTTTACAAACATGTCACAGGTACCTGCCAATGGACTCATAGGTGTGTTAGTGGTGTTATGCCATGATACACTCATTAATGTGGAAGAAATAAGAATGTCTGAGCAGGAAATCCACTGTGTTGTCCAGGTATGCCCTTCGACTCCAAAATGGTTATTATCTGCGATTTATGCTTCTAATTATTATACTAGCTGAACTACTTTATGGGATAACTTGTGTTATTTTAAGGAAAATTATGTTATTGGTCCTTGGTTGATAGGGGGGACTTTAATGAATTACTTAATGCGCGGGAAAAGTTTGGAGGCCTGCCCATAAGTAATAATGGAGCGGATAAGTTTACTAATTTTATTAATAATTGTAACTTGTTGGGTTTAGGGTTTAGAGGTAGCAGGTACACTTGGACCAATAAACGTCGTAATGGACATACAATTTTAGAACGCCTAGACCGTATTTTCGCAAATTATGAATGGCTTAATCTATATCCTGAGGCATCGGTTCATCACTTACCTCGTACTTACTTCGATCACTGTCCTCTATTATTAACATTAGAATCTAGACGACCTTTTTATAAGAAAATATACCGGTTTGAAACAGTTTGGACAACACATCCTCAGTTCCATCAGTTAGTACATCAAATTTAGGATACTAATGAAGATCTCCTAAACACCACTAAGCATTTCCAAGAGGCTGCTATTCACTGGAATAAGTATACTTTTGGAAATATATTCTCCCGTAAATGCAAGTTGCTAGCTAGACTTATGGGTATTCAATCTTCTGTTCACTACCCTACGAGTACTTTCCTTCAAAATCTAGAACACCAACTAACTCTTGATTACAGTAACATTCTTCGATTAGAAAAAGATTTTTGGAAGCTTAAATCTAGGGTAAATTGGCTAAACGAGGGAGAAGCAAATACTAAGTTTTTCCATATGACTACTCTTCAGCGAAGAAGAAAAAATAGAATTATTGCTGATAACTAGGGATTGTGCCATGTTTGATACTCTTTCTTGCTTACACTTTGGTTATAAATTGTTACAAAATAGTCCCAAAAGGCTCATAAGTGTGCTTGATTGCAGGTTTGATCGACAAAGGGACGAAATGTCAAGGATCGGCTCAAAAGGGAGTGAAACCTGCTCAAGTATCAAAGACAAGCCAAACTAAAGATAAAAAGGGCTAGTGCGGCCGCATTCGACTTTGTGCGGTCCGCACTAGGTAGATTCAGAGAGTTGGCAAAACCAAGCTTCAGGCAATGCGGCCGCCGTTCATATTGCACGGTCCGAGGTGAAGGCTCCGCGGCCGCACGACCATTTTGTGCGGTCCGCGGAGTAGAGATTCAGAGAGTTGGAAAAACCAAGCTTCAGGCAATGCGGCCGCCGTTCATATTGCGCGGTCTGCGGTGAAGGCTCCGCGGCCGCACGACCATTTTGTGCAGTCCGCGGAGTAGAGATTCAGAGAGTTGAAATTTCCAGATTTCAAGCCTTTACGGTCCGCGGTCATCTTTGTGCGGACCGCGCTAGCTGCCTCTACGGCCGCGGTCCATTCTACGCGGTCCGCGGAGCCCAACTTCAGAGAGCCAAGTTTTGAAATCCAAGAGCCTTGTGCGGCCGCGGTCCATTTTGTGCGGCCCGCACTGACCCCGCAGGGGTATTTTTGTCCAGTTTTTCTAGCTTAGTATAAAAAGAATATTTTACCATTTTTAGGTCATCAGCTAGTTCCAGAATTGAGCTGCGCTCGTGAGAACAACTTTTGTAGCCATTTTTGGCATCTTAGCTTCAAATTAACGATAGATTCTTGTACTTTAATTTAGTATTTAATTACTATGTCTTGTTCTTCATCTATTTCTTCATTTTCTCCTTCAAGCATGAATAGCTAAACCCATTAGCTAGGGTTGTGGCTCAACCCTAGTGTGGGTAATTGATGGGTGTTTCCATCTAGGGTTAGATTGACTATGGGTGTTTGCTATTTGGGTTGATTTTATGTTTTAATCTATAAATTGGTGGTTGCAAACACTGATTTGTGCTTTGTGGATTTGACTCTTCTTGAGAAAGAGAGTCTAAGTCTCCAAAATTGACCCAACAAGGAATTGGGATGGACTCATGAGAAATGATAGTCCCGATTAACGGGTTAAACCTCGAGAGAGTAATCACCCTACTTGAACCCTAGTTGCTTGNATCGGGGAGTGTCGTCCGATAAAAAATTCGGACGGCCCGGGCTATCAAATCGTGAAGGCACCAAAGCCTATTTAGGCAGTTCCAGAATACAAAAGGCTACGGCCACCCTAAAAATGGCTCGGAGACGTCCGATGTCCGTACCTAAAAAAGTAAGGCCCTTACAGATAATCAAAACCTACTAAAAGGTTACCCTCGGCAAAAATATCGCCGTATATGACTAAAACACTTAAGCATCTTTTATTATGCTAAGGTATTAAAAATGATACGCGAATAAAAAAATGCGAATAGATGCTGAAAGGAAAAGATACGGTGTTGCCAAAGGGGGAAATGTTATATATTTCAAAAAATGTTTACAAAAGCACGGTAAAACAGCCCTGAAATGAACACGAAAAAATATATACAAAGGGAAAAAAAGAACTAAGACATCTATGCCTAGTCTTCACTGAGGCTCAACTCGTCGCTAGAACTGTCGGAACCCTCAGAACCTTCGGGACCCGCAGGATCATTGAGTTCCTTTGCCTCGTCCTCGAGTTTCTTGGATTCTTCGATCTCGCCCAACATGTCAAAACCTCGAGCGTGAATCTCCTCGAGGGTCTCTCTCCGGGATAGCCATTTCATATATTCAGTCTTCGTCTGTGAGCGGGCCTTGGCTATCTCCACATCAGCCTTATACTGGCCAGCATATCCTCAACTTTGGAGGAATCGATCGAAGCTTCCTCTAATTTGGACCTCAGTGTAGTATATTCTTGGCTGAGGGCGTCCCGTTATGTGACGGCCGAGTTCAGCTGTGCCCAGAGTTCATCATTTACCTTCTCTATCTAAAAACCTTCTTTCCTACAATACTCCCTTACCTTCTTTTACGTTCTCTACACACCAAAAAATGGAAAATAGCTTAATTAACACTTCTTTCCAATCTTCCCATGAACCCCTTGATATCGGAAATATGCAAATTGATGACCCTCCATCTTCCCCAGGCCAATAAAAAACTTTTCTACAAACACTGCTATCAAATAACTCTTCAATTCCCATTACTGCTAATCATCGTCCTCAACAACAATATGTTGACTTCTCTGATGAAACAAACACTACAGAAGTTGATGAAGAATTATTATTCCTTTATCTACTGATGATAAATCACGATTATATACACCTTGGAAATCA